GACACACAACTTTCAGCAACTAAGGTTGAAAAGCGTATTAAAAAGGAGAAATAATTACATTTCGGTGTGATTCCTGGCAGAAAATATTCAACTCCTCATGCCTTATTATTTCTTACATTAAAAAGAAGTGAAAAAGATACATTTCTATGTCATTAGATGTGGACAATAGACATTTTGTCTGGTCTTATTATTACTTAGATTCATTCAAGTATTCAATATGTTTGACTATTTCAGTTAGCTTTCTTCAATCTATTATTTTCCTCTTATATGCACGTAATTTTTTGTCCCTAATGTCCATTGTAATTGGGTTTGTTGAAGTAGATCTATGAAGATAATGACTACATTTTGAACAACCTTTATTCCTTTCTGGCTTTCACCAATATATATGTTCAATAAGTCCTATGAGTAAATGGATTTATCAGGAGCAACTGAAATGATCTTAAAAACTGATCCATAGATTAAAAGGCAAAGAGTTCGTATTGTAACTGAAAGACAGAATTATTTAACGTATATATCCAGTTTAGGTCCTGTTTTGGGTGTTAATGTTTTTCAGTTTATCAACCTTATCAATCAATTTATAACTTTTGATCTCACAGCTCTGTATTGTGTGAATAAAAATAAATAAAGTTGACGATACTTTCAATTAGATTTCACCTTAATTATATGAATTATTTATGTCCCAAATTTTAGATGTTTTGTTGCTAATCATAAAAATTTGGCCTTTTGTAATCCTCTCTCAGTCCCACTTAAAGGTCCCTACACGATTTATAGGGACATTTGATTGACCATAATGTTAACAAATTCCTATAAAAAATAATATATATTTTACTAAATAAAAGTTACTCCCTCCGTCCCATTTATATTGTCCTGTTTTACCTTTTCGAGAAGTCTCACTTAAATTGTCTCATACCATATTTGGCAAAGTTTGTGTGGCTCTAAATCATTCTTACTCTATTCTTACTTTATCAATTAATATCAACCACACAAACCCACTTTTCTTAATAACCGTGCCACCCTCTTCCGTCCCAATATAAATGGTAAGGAGGTAGTACATTTTAATAAACTACATTAAAAGTGCTATAAAGTGTCAATACGTACAAACTCAAATTTCATATGTTCAAAAAAGAAAAACTCAAATTTGATAAAAGTAAGACATAATATGTAATACGCATATCTTTATTAACAGAAGATATTAAATAATGAAAAAGTACCAACATATTTTACTTCAAAAGAAAAAATTCTAATATGTTTTCATCTTATTTAAAGACCGTTTGGCAACACTGTTTTTTGGCTTATCAGGCTTATTGGACATCTTTTTCACCAAACACGAAACGTTTGCTTTCGCGCACTGAATTGTGTAATAAGCAGAAAAAGTAAGGTTGGAGTTACTTTTCTGGCTGTATTGACTGAAGTCACTGTAGATGATCATTTTAGTTATTTCTACATATAATTTTTTCTTTATTTTATTAATAAAATATATTTGAAAATTAATTTTTTCTTAAATCAGCAGAATCAGCCAATACATCCACTTCAGCAAAAATTTCATAAATTTTATCAGAATCCGTCAAAACAGCCGATTTTGATGCTACCAAACAGGCTTTTAGGATGTTTTCTTTTAAACTGAAATTTGGTGGTCTGGTCTGGTCTGGTCTGATCTGATCTGGTCTGGTCTGCTCTGGTAAACTTCTGGTCTATGTGTATTTTATAACTACAAAAGTCTGGTCTGGTCTGGTCTGATCAGGTCTGGTCTGGGACTGAAAACAGTTCAAAAGAAAACATCACTATTCAACTTTGTTATGTTCTACTCCATATTAAATTAAAAGTGCTCCGTGTGATTTATTCTAATGGGGTGTTTGGAACTGATTCTGCTTCTGCTTCTTTTTTAAAAGCAGAAGCAGAATCAGAATCAGTTTTCAGAAGCTGGTACCCCCCAGCTTCTAAAAAAACTGATTCTGAGAGTAAATTAGAGCTCCAGAAGTGCTTCTGGAATTTCACCCAAACACTCCAGCTTCTGCTTCTGCTCCCTGGAGGAGCAGAATCAGTTTTGAGAATCAGATCCAAACACCCCCTAAATTTGAAAGCAATATACAGAGTAATTAAAAACATAATTCAACTTTGTTATGTTCTACTCCGTATTAAATTAAGTGCTCCGTGTGATTTATTCTAAATTTTAAAGCAGTATACAGAGTAATTAAAAACGTAATTTTAGCATACTTCTTTAATAAAACACGAGCCTCACTTTTATTCTAAAAGTGACTAAAAATCAAAGGAGTACTGTACTAGGGTTTACCACTTTAGCCGCAGCAGCAGCTTGAGAAAAAAAAACAGTACTTCGCCATTCTTTTCAGCAAAAAATTAAACCATGGCCAACCAAAAGAAAGACAGGGACTCAGATGTACAAATGAAATGATAAAGTTTTACCATGGCTGGTGCACGTTTGGGTCTCAAGGTTATGTTTTTTATCTTACTAAAAAGTTTGACTCTTAGTTGTTAGGTTAACATCTTATATATACACTCTGTAGGGTTGCACTTTGATCACAATCCAACAAAATATCTCTTTCAATCATCTCAAAACAATACCTAAAATTTCGAACAGATAGATTACTTACTACGAAGTGCTTAATTTAAGTTCGTGCTTGATGATAATTCTAACCGAACCACACAAATTTAACAGGCTGATTACAAACTTCCAATTATGTATGGTTTCATTTGATATTTGTGCAAACATACACAAAGTTACTCTAAAACAAAATATCAAGAGTCAAAAGACGTTAAAAACTTATAGGATTTTACCAACCAAGGTCTCATAGTTTAACATTATATTTTTAGAGTATGACTTTAGTATTTATATTGAAGAATGGAGTGATGAACATCATTAGCACTATTGAAAGAAAATTTATTGAATCCAATGTTAAGACCAAGTGATATTATTATTTGTCTCTTAAAGGAATCAAATTTCTTGCAGATTTACATAATTGCATGTCATATATGATATAAACACATAACTTCAGAAGAGCAGGCTAATACCCCGTCTATTTAATGGAGATCTTGATTCTAGCATTAACATGTTGGTGCAGTTATTTTCAATAATTTATTGAACTATTTCACTTCCCAATTAATTTTTTGAGCTGTAAATTTCTGAATACTTTATGAAAAACACTCTCACAAAATATATTTAAAAAATCACCCAAAAACCACCTCAAAGGGGTGCATTTTAGACGGCGGATCCATTAAGAGAGTCCAAACCAGAATTTTAAGTATGATTTATTCAATCATTCTTTTTTTTTTATATTCAATCATTCAAGAATATATATATATATATATATATATATATTGTGCAATTTTTTTTAGCAATTTTGTTACTTACCCACACAGACGTTAGAACACAAATAAATACCACCAGTACAACTATAGACTTCTACCAATCTTATTTAAGAAATTGGTCAAAACAGGTGTAATCCAACACAAAAAAAAGTAAATAAGACTAAGTACCGCTTTCTTACTTTCCCCAACAAATAGTGCACTTTGTTATTTATATTCAAATTAGACTGGAATATATTTTACATAATCGCAAAATGAATCTTCTAACTAAAAAATTGTAGCAGTTTAGTTTTGTTATTTTCTAATATGTTTGCATTGCAGAGCACGAATAAAAATGGATGCAGCGGAAGTACGTCGCAAAAGAAAATCCATTCTACATGCAAGAGAAGTAATAAGGGACAACAATGAAGAATTAAATAAGGGTATAAACAAAATTTTATTTTCTTATTAAATACTTTCGTACCTTCATTTCACATTTTTTGTGAATGCAGTAACAAATGTAGTTACAAGGGAATCCATAGGAACTACTGCATTGCTAGACAACACAAGTTCTTCCCTCATTAGAAGGTAAATGATTGCTCGATTATCATCTACAAACTATTGGATTAATATAATAATACTATAACTCTTAAGTGTTCATAACATATTTACTCAAAACATGCATAAAAGGAACGAGGCGACAAGAGCACGTCTCAGAAGGAGATATTTTCTAGATGAAAGAAGGAGAGGTAAATTCATAAACGCAATCAACAAGACATATCTAACCAAGTCCAACTACAAAATATCTACCTCCTGCTGTATTCTACATTGCTATATACAATTAATATTCAAATCATTTCAACTTTTAAGGTTTCTGTACAAACAAGAGCGTCGAAGGTTCTTCACAAGATGTAGATACCAAAGGCAAAAAAAGTGTAGGGACATCAAACGAAATTGGGCTGCCAAACTATGGTACAAATAACCAGTTATTACATGCATGTTTTATTGTAACATTTGTTCTATTTAACTATTTCCTATTCCAATTACTAAATTTACTATTTATTTTTATAACCACACAGCAGAGTACTATTATACTCCTGCCCTTCACACAAGTGTCAATGCAAATACCATGGACACTTCAGCAGGCCATTACCTTCCACTCTCTAACATCACAAATATCATATTAAACGGAAGGTAATTTATAACATAAAATTACAGCTTCATATAAGACTTATAAATAAAAATTAAAATAAATTTATTTTTTATCATATTCTTACGTTTTCACAGTGGGAGCAACCAAACAGCAAAAGGGGATGCGACTAAAGAATCACATTCCAAAAGAAGATCTTCTTTACAAGAAAAACATGGATACCAATTTCAAAGGGGAGGTATACAAAAATACATATGCAGTCAACTGTGAAACACTGATATTCTATTTCGTTGTGTATATTATGAGACTCATATATGATAATACAATTATATGATATTTATAGAATATTAAAAATTATTACAAATTTGGGCACACATGCATACAAATGTATGCTTTTTAACACATATTAATAAACGATAATAAATTGGATATACTTTGAAAATACTTTTTTCCTCAACTAACATGTTCATGGAATAGTGAAATCATATTAGCTTTATACACATGTTTATCACATTTATTCAATATTAAATCTTATTAGCTTTTCATATAGCATGCACTATTCGAGATCAGCATTCTCATACAAATGTCGCTGCTAACAAAGCAGCGAGAACCACGACAAATGCAATCTCGAATGGTCCTTATATCAACACACAATTAAGTACTGCATTGCTAGACCACACAAGTTCTTCCCTCATTAAAAGGTAAATGATCGCTCGATTATCATCTACAAACTATTGTTTAAATATAATAATACTATAACTCTCAAGTGTTTATAACATGTTTACTCAAAACATAAAAGGAACGAGGCAGCAAGAGCACGTCTCAGAAGGAGATATATTCTAGATGAAAGAAGGAGAGGTAAATTCATAGTCGCAATCAACAAGACATATCTAACTAAGTCCAACTACAAAATATCTACCTCCTGCTATATTCTACATTGCTATATACAAGTAATATTCAAATCATTTTAACTTTTAAGGTTTCCGTACAAACAAGAGCGTCGAAGGTTCTTCACAAGATGTAGATACCAAAGGCAAAAAAAGTGTAGGGACATCAAACGAAAGTGGGCTGCCAAACTATGGTACAAATAACCAGTTATTACATGCATGTTTTATTATAACATTTGTTCTATTTAACTATTTCCTATGCCAATTACTAAATTTACTATTTATTTTTATAACCACACAGCAGAGTACTGTTATACTCCTGCCCTTCACACAAGTGTCGATGCAAATACCATGGACACTTCAGCAGGCCATTACCTTCCACTCTCTAACATCACAAAAATCATATTAAACGGAAGGTAATTAATAACACAAAATTACAGCTTCATATAAGACTTATAAATAAAAATTAAATTAAATTTAATTTTTATCATATTCTTACGTTTTCACAGTGGGAGCAACCAAACAGCCAAAGGGGATGCGACTAAAGAATCACATTCCAAAAGAAGATCTTCTTTACAAGAAAAACATGGATACCAATTTCAAAGTGGAGGTATACAAAAAAACATATGCAGTCAACTGCGAAACACTGATATTCTATTTAGCTGTGTATATTGTGAAACTCATATATGATAATACAATTATATGATATTTATAGAATATTAAAAATATATTACAAATTTGAGCACAAATGCATACAAATGTTTGCTTTTGAACACATATTCGTAAACGATAATAAATTGGATATACTTTGATAATACTTTTTTCATCAACTAACATGTTCATGGGATAGCGAAATCATATTAGTTTTATATACATGTTAATCATATTTATTCAATATTAAATCTTTTTAGCTTTTGATACAGCATGCACTATTCGAGATCAGCATTCTCATACAAATGTCGCTGCTAACAAACAAGCGGGAACCTCAACAAATGCAATCTCGAGTGGCCCTTACTTCAACACACAATTAAGTGTGCTCCAAAATCAACCAAAGAGAAAAAGAATAGCCACCAATTTGGATTCTTTGGGTGTGAATCTATTGACCAAATTTTCAGAGGATGCTCTTATGTTTGACAATGAAGTTGATGGGCATAATCCTTGCAAAACAATTTCACCATCATCAGCTCAAGGCACATGTTACACGAACCAAACTCAAGCATTAAATTCAAATCAAAGTGTGAGCATACATGAAACATATGATCCACAAGTAAATCAAGAAATTGATTCTGATAGTGATATTGATCAATTCGAAGGTAAATGATAAGTTTTTATCATCACTATAACTAACACCACAATAATTTCATATACTTATTGAGCATTATTTTCAAACAGGTTTAGCTCCCGATGATGACATCAGTTCAAGTGAAGAGTTACCCGATACTCATGAAAACACTACAGAATTTAATTTGGGTCAAGGTATTAATTAAATAATTTAATATAATTTAACTCATACTAACCACTGTGTAATATTTATATTAAATTTAAATTCTTTCTAGGATACTTTGATATTGGAGATCCACTTATTCAGTGCGACAAATGCAAGGCATGCATGTGGTATCAAGAAAGAACTGACAAACATAGAGACACTGTGTCACCAAAGTATAATCTTTGTTGTAGAAAGGGAAAAGTTCAATTGCCACTGCTTAAGGATCCCCCTATGCTTCTCCAGCATCTTTTATTTGATAACGATGTTGATAGCAAAAACTATCAACAACATATTAGAGTGTACAATATGATGTTTGCATTCACATCGCCTGGTGCAAGAATTGACAAGTCCGTCAACGATGGTCGAGGCCCGCCGACATTCAAAATACAGGGCCAAACATGCCATCGAGTGGGAAGCATGTTACCTATGCCAGGTCAACATCCAAAGTTTGCTCAGTTATACATATATGATACTGAGCATGAGATAGAAAACAGGATTCGAGGAATAAGGTTAGCATATGCATTAATTTTATCAACATACACTACATACAAATTTATTAAATTATTACTTCTCATTATATGTGATTATTCAATTAAATTTGATGTCTTTTGTAGAAATCGAAATGACATAAATGAAGAGATTGTGTGCAAATTATCAGCGATGCTACACCAATACAATGTGCACGCAAAATCATTTAGGATGGCTAAGGAAAGATTGCAAGATGCACCTGTGCGAGATCTACGACTAAAGTTGATTTCTGACAGAGTTAGCGATGGTCGAGTATATAATCTGCCAACGGTTTCAGAAGTTGCTGCTCTTATTGTTGGAGATGTTAACACTTCATCAAAAAGGGACATAATAATGGAGACGCGAAGTCGTACACTTCAGCGAATCAGTGAATTGCATACTAGCTATTTGAGTTATCAATATCCTCTTTTATTTCCTTATGGTGAGGATGGATATAGGCATGACGTGCTTCATAGAGATACAGGTAATTCTAATAGTTCTAAAAGAAACCGTCTTACCATAAGGGAGTGGCTTTGTTTTAGACTCCAAACCAGAAAAAAAGAAGCACTCACATTGTTGAGATCAAGAAGATTATTTCAACAGTTTGTGGTTGACGGATATGCTATGCTTGAGTCAGAGAGGTTATCTTTTATAAGGAGAAACCAAAAAAAGCTAAGAGTTGATAAATACAGTAACCTCACTCAACCAAATAACGACTTACAATGTCAAGGATCTGAAAAGGGAAAAAGAATTGTACTACCATCGACATTTGTAGGAAGTCGCCGATACATGGATCAACTTTACTTCGATGGTATGGCAATTTGCGGTTTTGTTGGCTTTCCTGATTTCTTTATCACATTCACTTGCAATCCCAACTGGCCTGAGATTCAGAGAGTACTTGAACCATTAAACTTGAAGCCACATGATCGTCCTGATATTCTTGCAAGGGTCTTTAGGATCAAGTTTGAAGAGTTATTAACAGATTTAAGGAAAAGACATATATTCGGGAAAGTTCTTGCATGTAAGTTTTAAATATGGATACATTACATATTTCTTATTCACACTACACATTTACTGTTGCAATTCATTTATTCTAAAATTATAATTTGCTAATTTATTTCCAGATATGTATACAATCGAGTTCCAAAAAAGAGGACTGCCGCATGGTCATATACTCATTTTTTTGCATCCTTCGAACAAGTACCCAACCGCCGATGATATTGATAGGATTATCTCAGCAGAGATACCTGATCAAGAGTCTGAGAAAGAATTATACAACTTGGTTAAAACTCACATGATTCATGGTCCATGTGGTTCAGCGAACCCTTCTTCGCCATGCATGCAGGATAGGAAATGCAACAAGTATTATCCTAAGCAATTCCAGGCAAGTTTAGTTTTAATTGGTCTGATCAGTTTAAGTGTGATCTTATTTTGTTCTATATATGATCGCTTCCCAAAAGCAATATATATGCATACACACATTTACTTAAGATATATTTGAGATATTACCATTTAAATATTTACAAAAAGATAAATTAAATTCTATCGCCGTAATATTTTCATACATTTGCTAATGAATGATAGATAATTAGATTAAAATATTACGAAGTACTAATTAATAAATGAATGTAGTATTGACTATTCTTCTTGAAAAAATGTGACTTTTATATGGTCACTACTATTAATTTTAAGCATGTAGGTCCCTCATGAAAAATAAATCAAAACTTATACACTATAACACTGTAGACTAATACTACAAACTAAACATCAATTCCTAACTTTAACAACACATACAATTTATACATATATGATAATAAAAAATAACATCACATTTTTTTACTATTATCTGTTAAACTTACTCTATCAAAGTAATGACATTAGTGGTGCTTAGAAGTATTAAGTTAAGATTATTCTCATTACTTTTAAATAGAAATACATAACATTTACAATGTTTCAGGAATTCACGACACTTGACGAAGATGGTTATCCTATCTATAGGAGAAGACAAAATGGAAGGGAAATAGAAAAATCTGATATTATCTTAGACAATCGTCATGTAGTGCCTTATAATCCAAAATTGCTGTTAAAGTACCAAGCCCATATCAACATGGAATGGTGTAATCAAAGCACTTCGATCAAATACTTATTCAAATATATCAACAAAGGATATGATCGGATTACAGCAGTTATTGTTCCAACACGCGATGATGAGTCTCCACAAAATGAGAATATTGATGAGATCAAGCAATATCTTGATTGTAGGTATGTCTCACCTTGTGAGGCCTGTTGGAGGATTTTTTCTTTTCCGATTCATGGTAGGTCTCCAGCAGTTGAAAGGCTTTTCTTTCACCTTCCCAATGAGCAGTCTGTGTTCTTTAGTGACAATGACAACCTGGATTCGGTTCTAACAAAAACAACTGTTAAAGAATCAATGTTTACATCTTGGATGCAAGCAAACAAAATCTATCCTGAAGGAAAAGATTTGACCTATGCAAAATTCGTTTCACGATTTGCGTATGTAGCTAGCAAGAGGTGCTGGAAACCGAGAACAAAGGGTTACACTATTGGTAGACTCATTTGGGTACCTCCAACCACAGGTGAATTATTCTATTTAAGAATGATGCTCACTGTAATAAAGGGGCCATGTTGTTATGAGGATATTAGGACAGTTGCCAACATTCAATATCCAACCTTTAGAGAAGCATGTTTTGCGGCAGGATTGCTTGGGGATGATAAAGAATATATTGCAGCATTAAAAGAAGTTAAGGACTGGGCATCAGGGCACTACTTGAGAAAATTGTTTGTAACTCTGCTCTTATCGTGTCCCGTAAGCAGACCTGAGCATGTATGGGAACAAACTTGGCAGTGGTTGGCAGATGGAATTTTGTATCAACAACGAAGACTCTCAAATATCCAAGGTAGACCACCGATCAATTAAAAATTAAATTTTCACTAATCATTTGTAAAATGACAAGTTCTTCATGAGGCCTACCCTACCGAAAAAAATATAAGATTTGTGAGTAAAAGTGTTACACTAAATTCCATTCACTTTATATTTGAATTCGAATAGAGAACACAAAGTATATATGATTACTTTAGCAGATATGTGATACTCTTTCTAAATTCCCACTAATTATATAAGTATAAAAATTAGTAATTTATAAAATTAACTATTTCCTATTACCATAAATTTACGTCATTTCTAGATTACTTCAATCATCTTTTCTTATCTTAAGTATTAAAATAATTTCAAGTATCAAGTAACATATAATTTATTTCACCTATCAAGTAACATATAATTTGTCATTCATTTGGATAAAGGAATATATTCAAATAAAAATATTTCATAATTTTAATTGTCTGCATGTCCCGTTGTCATTCATTTGCATCACTGTGACAAATTAAACTATTTACAATAAAAACATAATGAAAGTAGACACATACACATGAACATCTTCTTCTAATTACTAATTTAATTGTGTTTATTACATTTGTAGATTTACAGTTAAGTGATCAAGAGTTGCAAAATTTAACTCTTCTGGAGATTGAGAAGTTGATGCAAAAAAAGAGAAAAAGTCTAAAAGACTATCCCTCAATACCATATCCAAATGGATATATCACGGAACAACTAGGAAATAGGCTTATTTATGCAGAACGTGATTATGATACATCCAAGTTGCGTGAGGAGTTCCAAACTTTGTATGCTTCTCTTACAGGTAAGATAAATGCAATTCATATTATTTATAAGTCACATTAAATGAATTTGACTGTCAAAAAGAAAAATGATTTCATGCATATATTTTGATGCTAATATTGCAGATGAACAAAAAGGCATATTTGACACAATAATGGAAGCTGTGACTAACCAAAAAGGCGGGGTATACTTTTTATATGGTTATGGTGGTACAGGGAAAACCTTTATGTGGAGGACATTAGCTTCTGCCTTACGTTCTCAGCGTCATATTGTTTTAACTGTTGCATCCAGTGGTATTGCTTCTCTACTCTTACCTGGCGGTAGAACTGCACACTCTAAATTTTCAATCCCAGTTCCGACTCTAGAGAACTCTACATGCAATATACATCAAGGGAGTGAACTTGCAGAGCTTTTAAAACAGACTAAGTTGATAATTTGGGATGAAGCAACAATGGCTAATAGATTTTGTTTTGAAGCACTAGACAGAAGCCTAAATGACATCATCAACAATGATGGTGATTCTATTTCACCATTCGGAGGAAGAGTGATTGTCTTTGGAGGAGACTTCAGACAAACTTTACCAGTTATTCCTGGAGGAAGCCGTTCAGACATTGTTAATGCTACAATCAATTCTTCATATCTATGGGATGACTGTCAGGTAATAACTCCATTTTAGTACCACAACCAATATGTTTACTGTTACTATAATTTACAAATTCATTTTACCACAATATACCAAAATAACTAACCTAAAAAACTTTAAAAAAATTGTTCATTCGTTCGCTTTTAGTTTAAATAAAGTACAAGTAATTATATTAAGGGTTGGTTTGCAACCACTTTAAAAAAAGAACTTCTCAGCTTTTGGCTTAAAAAAGCAATTCTTTTACCAAACACTACAACTTTTATTTTTCCCGGCTTTCGTGTCAAAAGTGCTTTTACTTTTTCTATTACACAAAAAGCACTTATTTTACCAAACACTATCAACTTTTACTTTTCAAAATCACTTTTTTTTCAAACGTTATCAACTTTTATTTAATCACTTCTCCCCATTTCATTAAAAAGACACTTTTTTTAAAGTAGAAGCTGTTGCAAACAGACCCTAATTGTTTAACTATTTCAAATAATCACTTTATAATTTTTTTTAGTAATTACTATATAAGTTATATTCAAATATAAGTATTTTTTTTTGTTTATTGATAGGTATTGTCTCTTACTAAAAATATGCGACTCCAAAAAAATTTGGATATGACAAGTGCTACTGAGCTCAAAGAATTTTCAAAATGGATATTGGATGTGGGAGATGGAAAAATATCAGAGCCAAACGATGGTTATGCAGAAATAAAGATTCCAGATGAATTCTTGATTAAAGAATTTGATGATCCAATAGATGCAATAGTCCGTAGCACATATCCGAACTTGCTGGAGCAATACAAAAATGAGGAATTTCTTAAGTCTAGAGCTGTCTTGGCATCAACTATTGAAATTGTCGATAAAATTAACGACTATGTTCTTTCAACGCTCCCAGGTAATATTATAAAAAAGCTAATTTACTTATTTACTTACAAAATAAATTCTTAAAAAAACTTAATGATTAAATTAAGACTACCGAACTTTTATAACTACAGGTGAAGAAAGAGAATATTTAAGTTGCGATTCTGTAGACAAGTCGGATGTAGTTGAAGCAGAAGCATTTGAAGCGTTGACACTAGAGTTTCTCAATTCCTTGAGAACATCAGGTCTCCCAAATCACAACATACGACTTAAGGTTGGAACTCCAGTAATGTTGCTAAGAAATATAGACCAGTCAGAAGGACTATGTAATGGAACTAGATTGATTGTCACAAGACTGGG